TTTTTTTTTTTTTCTGAACTCTTAACATTCTCAAACGATGTTTTTTCGAGACAGATCCTTTTAATTTGATAGATCATAGATAGAAAATAAATTCCTGTTTTTACAAATGTTGCTGCGTCTGAGATGTTTTATTTACAACATGATCTTCTTCGTCGAAGACCGTCAACACTTCTCGGAAAGTGCGACATTTTGCTCGCGGCGATAAGAACGCCGGACTTGCCTCCCGTGGTATAAACTCGTTGCGCGCACCAATGCACTCTCTTATCCTGCGCGCGGGGACGAGGTAGTTGCAGTCTCTCGGTGCACGCTCCGGCATTGCCGGTTATATTCGCTCGGCGCCAGCTGCGCGGCATGAAGTCAAATGGATTTTTATTCGCCTGATCGAGCGAGTCTGCCACACACTTTCCGAGTATTCTCTTAATCCGCGCGTGTTCGTACTATCACGAACGTTAAAGCTCGGAGGGAGAAAGCGAGAGCAAAGGTTATTTTCTTTGTATAGCGATTTATTTGGGAACATTGCTCGGTCAATTTGTCTTTTTGTCTTTGTTTGAAAATTTGTTCAAATTAAATTCTATCGAAAAAATATTTTTATTAAATTTTGTTAAAATTCTATAGAAAAGAAAATTTTTCACTCGATACAAGAATCTTCTTGTTTTGATTTTTAATCTATAATATTACATTTAAGATTTAGAAATATTTTAAAGCATTTAATTTTTTTTTTTTCCAAGTAAAAGAACGCGCATTCTCTGATAAATGAAGGGTTCAATGTAGTGTAGTGAACACACGTTGGCACTCGACGTGTGTTGGAAGCGTAACACACCAGCAGATGTGTGTGTTGGTCTCTCTGCGTAATTTTAGCACACGCGCCACTCGAATAAACTCTTTTCGCGTTGCGTCACACTGTGTCGGGACGTGGGTGAGGAGGCCTAACGTCTCGTTACATAACGTCCTTCGTCTGCGCGATCCTCTTCCACAGTTCTATTCCTATCTATTCAACGGGACGCGCACGAACGTGCGGCGACGCCAATTTGTGAATCAGTTAACTCTTAGCCAAATTAGTTCCGTTCGTTTTGTACGCACTCATACGTACGCGAATACGCACAAAGAGAAATTGCATTCCTATTTTCAAATCTTCTACATTTCATTGTTCTAAAAATAAATGTTTACGATAATATAAGATGTTGAAGAATATTAAAAAGTATTTTTCAACTTCATCGTTGAACAAAAAATAAAATAAAGATTCAAGTACAAATGTTTTTCCACAAATTAACTCGAAAAAGAAATTCGAATATGAAATAACAAAAACACCAATTTATTCGCAAATTGATTGTTATAGCTTTTAATTTTGACAATTGAAGAATCGTCAGTTTTTTAAATAAATCAACAATTATACTATTGTCACATTGCTTTTTTTTATCACTTTCGCGTGACCAAGTCACATTACGTGTGGTTTATAAATTCAACTAATTCCGTTGACCGGCTCTGGCAAGGCAATCAGAGGCGCAAGTTGGAATGCGTAACATGGCCGTTTAAAAGCGACACGCATGATTGAGCAGAATGATAATATAGAGTTATTGGCGGAAGATATTTTCTTCCTAGTGTACACTCTGCGAGCACTGGATAATCCACATGGCCGACATAGAGAAACCGTTTGATTAAAAACACGGAAAATAAATTAAAACGCGTGGAAAAATAGGGACGCGATCGGATAGGAGGGCAAATCATCGAGTCCTCGCTCTTCTTCGCAATGACGTAGTGAGAGGTTGTTGCACGACCGGTCACACGTTGCCACGACGTATTTTACGTGCAATCATAATTAATCCGTGATTACACCCCAAGGGATCGTCTCACTGGGGAAAACAGATCGAGTTCTGACCCAAAGGGGCTCTGTCACACATCTGTCATTTATTTCTCGCATTGTCACTTGTTGCACGTGCGGCGAGCAACAAATAAATGTTAAAAACAATAGATTTTAAACATTCTCTTGACAATAAATTTAATTTTTTTAATCGAAAGAAATGTTTTTAAATATATTTAGATTTCGTTCTTATTGTAAAACGCAACGGAAATACTTCACACAAATTTATTAAACTCGCGAATCACAAAGAACAATTGCAAACAAAATACTTTAAGCCTTAAAACCTCTGTCTGATTCACACACAGCTTCACAGATTTCTTCTCTCATTCCTCTCTTCATTAAGACTTGAATTAACTTCACTCCTAATTCTCTTCTTCGCATTATTAACCTTTAATTCTTCCTGCTCAAACAGCTGCCGGTTGGAGTACAAAAGGTTTAAATGAAGGAAATTAAGCAAACGTCGCAACTATGTGAAAACGACACACATTTCTAATTGCTTGACGTTTGTTATTAATTTTAATCCATGCGCGAACCGCTACAATCGAGTTTATTTCGCGATGGTGAGAATTCCGTATAAGAAGAGCGGAGTGAACGAGCAGATTCTGCCAAGCTGTGACTGCTCTGCGAGAGTATAGCAAATTTACGAACACCAAATGTTTTTATCCGCATATAATATTCGTACGTGTGTGTGAGAAAAACAGAAGTGTGAAAACCGGTCAAGAGTCAAAACTTAACTGTCTCTTAACTCTGTTTCGACGCAAGATATTAATTAAATTAAAACGTAACTGTTGTCACGTAGATGAAAATTCATTGGCGTGAAAACTGATTTTGTCTACTTTTCGAGCGAGGTATTTAATAAAACAAAAACCAACTATTAAACAGGAAAATAAACTATTAACTGAGAAAAACTTTCCTCTAATTTTGTTTTTCCGGGAGCGAGCGTGTCTAATTACGGTACTGGCCGCGTGTTAGGTGAAAGACATGCAGACGAGAGCGAGAGCATGCGCCGAATGCGCGCGCCTCACGCGTGCTGAAAATGGCGACGATCGTGTGTCTGTCACGACGTGTGCCGTTGTGTGCGCGTCAACTTCGCAATGTCACACGTGCGTACAACTCGTGGAGTGTCAACAGTGGTGTCAAGAGATTGCGGAAAGGCGTCGGATTGCTGGCGGCCGCTTCCGTCACGTTCGTGATGGCGCAGCAATACCTACGGCCGAAGGTGGTGCACGCTTTGAAGCTTCGCAAGGTACGCACGTACGTGTCAAGTGCACAGGCCAGTCTGCTGAAGTGTCCCGACTTGAATGACAAGTCACGACAGTCACGTGGATCACGCGCGCGTGATCCACACGTGGCGGAGTTGCTCGAGCGCGCGGTGGTCCATTCATTAAAATCTTTTCTCGGCATGTGTGAGTCTGTTTTTTCCTTTAGCTTAAAGGTGTATGTAAATTACGACGGTTTATTTGTTATGGATTTTTGTTGTTATTGTGTTAGTTAAATTAAACAGATAAAAATCTCAGAGAGATTAGCGAATGTTTTCAATTTAAAATCATTTAAAATTTTTAGTGGTTAAAAAACGATAAACTTTGTTTTTTTTTTAATTTTGTTGTTTACAAAGGTTATGTTATCGCGAATCACGAGTTTTCAAAACATCGAACGATTTCACAACACGCTCGCGCGTAATAACACACAACCACGTTATAGTACGTTGAAAAATAAATTCAGATGATTTACGTGCGACATCGCGTTGCGTCATTATTTTATAAATAGCAAAGTGTCTGAGAGACACAAAATAGGTGACTGACCCGTTCGTGATCGGCACTTTGTTTGACTTGCGAATAAAAATAAAATCAGATATTTTATTAGAAGGGGGGAACTCATTCTGATAAAATATCTCGGAAAATAAAATCCGAACGTTTTAACAAAACAAACCGCGTACGTGAAACTCTCTGCCGCAGATAAAAAATTTATGTATTTCTTGTATTTTTATTCGGTTTATATTGCGCTAATCCTTCCGACGCGCGGCCGGCGCCGATATGATAGCGCATCTTCGTTCGCAGGCGCGAGGGGAGAGAAAGCAAAGAAAAGAATTCCTCGCGCGGCGCGTTTAAAAAGGAGTTTGGAATCAAGGTTTTGCCCGCGATTGATCTCGGTCGATCTCTCCGGTCGTGAGACCGAACGTGTAAGCCACGTTAAGTTAATAACATGGCCCGGAGGAAGCGGATCGGCTTTTGTGTCAAACGATCTTCAAGTGTATCGTCGTCGCCACGCCCTCCCGAACGATCACACAGTCGATACGACCGCGGCTTAACCAGGCCGGATCTCTCAACGTCTCTATTACGACCCGAGAGAGAGAGAATCCCGAGATTCTCCCGAAAAGTTAGACCGCAGGCGCAGGAAAATCACATCATAAACTATACAAATTATCCGCAGGTGATATTTCTCTGATACCTGCGTATTTTTTAACAATATCCCGCGCGTAAAAATTCTACAATCATTTATCGTTTTTTTTTTAGTTACACTTTTATGGATTTTACGTGATTTTAGATTTTTCTTGTATCTTATTTTATGATGTGATTGCGGTTTTATAATATCGTATCCGAGAGGAGGATTCGAACAATACGATAATCGAGACGTCATTTAAATATCAACATTTGCGTTAAAGCTCTATTACTAGCCAATACAGTTTTTGTTATTTATCGCTTGGTATCTTCTTGAAAAAAATCTGAATTTTTTTAAGCGAAGAATACACGTCTTTTTTTTTACAATCAAGACTAATTGTTACTTAAATGCTTTTTCCAAGCGGGAAACCTCTTCGACAGAAGAGCCATGTTACAGTATCACTTACAAGTAGGACGTTGACACACGCGTTTCATCGATCATGCGAGTTTTTTTTTTTTCAAGAGTACGAATGTTTCCGAGACCGTGTTTTTTCCGTTCATAAAAGGAAATAGATAAATAGCTGGCGTCTTGCTTTAATATCCAAGCTGCGTCCGAAAAAATGCACCCGGCTCTTTGAGACGTCCCAATATAAATGCGATGTATTTGAACCATTTCCTTTTTCCGCACTTCGCAACACGTGTATCGATCAATTATCACGTGAGAACGCAAGAAAGTCGCATCCAGACTACTTTTGATTATACGATGTTTATTATTTATCGTATTTTATAATAATCATTAAGTAATTTAACTAAATATACTTCTAAAATTCTTTTGCATTTGATGTATTATAAGTAAAATATAAAATAATTGATACCGAAATGTAATTTATACAATATTGTTAAATACTGTATGAGTGAATATGTATATGGTTGCAAAACGTAGTTGAAAAAATTGTCTATGTATGCAGATCTATTAATTTTTTTTAGAATGAAAATAGATTCTCACACACGTTAAAATACTTTTAGTAAAATGCTTTTGAGAACGACATATCTATGTAAGCATCTGTGAAAGTAACTCATACCGCAATAGAAATTGAACCAGCAATTGGCCAGTTTTCCTGGTTACTAGCCAGTAACTAGTCAGTTTTCTGTCTACAGTTACTGGACATTTACTGTCAAATAAAACTAGACTAGGAAAATTGACCGGTTTTTAGCCGGTGATCGGTTTTTCTCAAATGCACTTTACTGAAGAGTAATTCTATATTCTCAAAAAAAAAAAAAAATTTATACAAAACTGTATGTATAAATAAATAATATTTTATCTATCAATTTTGTATAACTGAAATATTCGGAATTCTTTTTAATGTCTCTTATTGTGAGTTTTATTTTCGATCCGATGAAGAAACGAGAATCGACTTTTAAAATACAAAATGAACAAAATGCACTTTGTGCGCAATCGATTCGCGTTGCGGCAATCGCGCGCGTGACACACTATCTATGTGTCTCGTCATCGCGCTTGCTTTGTGTGAGAAGACTTATTCTTCGACCGCGTCGCGCGCGCGCTGCCAAGAATTCGGTAAGAATAGGACGTCCACACAAGACTGCCAAAATATCGTACTACGCGAAAACGTCCTCACGCCATTTACGCGAATTACGCAAGGTGTTCCTCGCGAGCGACTATCTATAAAGTCGTCAAAACGTGACGCGACACCGATCACACAATTGAAGTCACACCGGAAATAAACGTGATACTTTCTAGCAAACATAGCAAGCAATCTGAGAAATACATGTGTTTTCAAATGTATTTCTCGCAATCTTACTCGCGACCACGGAAGAAAAGACACATTTCAAATCGCGTTGAATTCGCGATGTAATTTCGTGCGCAACAAAAGGGTGACGCCTCTAACCGCTGTATCATCGTTTGCGATTCGTAAATTCTTGTTTCACTAGCTTGCGTTCGAACTTTTTATTAAAACGCAACGTAAAATATGTTGTGTCGCGCGATACATAAATTTGAGAACGTTCGTCGCCGTATCGCGGTTGCCATCGCAATCTAGTAGCGCGATGTGTATACGCGATCGCAATCACGGTATGGACGCAATGATGAAGTACACGGCACCATACGTTTGCATGGGGCCGGGGGTTGATCTTGCACAAACAAGCTTCGACCATAGCGCCGTTCATCGTTTACGTCGTCTTATCCACTGCGTGGGCTATCACGACATGGAAAGGACGATCGGTATCAAGATAGAAGAGATGTGATATATATATATATTCCGCGCAAAATAACCTATCTCTTGAAAAAAAAAAAGTAGAAGAAATAATATATAGGAACTACTTCAATAAACATAGACATAAATCATATCAGTTTTTTGTTTAACGTTTTTTCGAAAATTTCTATCTATGAAGTTTCACTTAATTGAAGTTGAGTAATTATTTGTTTGAAAACTGCAATTATTGAGAGATACATCGCGCGGTCAAATTTAGAAATTAATATCATCGGACGTTCATTCAACAAAAAATCAAAAGCTGCAGTGGCAAATGAAAAATATATATCTTATATCTCTCGGACGGCGCGCGGAATGGCAGTCTGAAAATTTTTATCGAAAAGTAAAAATTCTCTAACGAGGGCGCGGAAAGGAGAGAAGAGAAATATATCACGCGATTGCATTACGTGTTATTACGAGATGAGGCGCGACGTTATCGTCGCGCATTACGTATGCAGAGGCTTGTTTGACGAGCGGTTTGCGGTAACTAATGGGCCCGGATCCTCCTACCCGCCACCTTCCTATCGAGATGCTCCTATCTCTCGACAATACCGACGCGAGGTCCTTCTGGATCAAGCTTCATTATAGAAGGACTTCGTCTTCGTGTATGCGGGAGAAGAACGTGTGCGGGAGGAGATCGGAACGCGCTGCATAGCAGAAGTCTCGTTCAATCAGAAACGTGTTTCTTTTTTCTCTCATGGAAAAAGTTTACACGTCCAAATATATTAGACCGTAATTGGATCAGCTCGTTTTTATGATCGATTCTCGCCTTCCCGCGCTATAATTGGGAGGGGGGAGGGAGAAGAGAGAGAGAGAGAATTATTAAAATTACTTTAGGTTGCAAATAAAACGATTGTGTATCAATAATACAATTTATCTTAGAAATAAATTGAAACAATGTATTTCGAAATCATACCAAAATAAACGATTAGACAGTTTCAAGCAATTCGTCTTTTTTACTCTCTCTTTCTCTTTCTCTCTTTCTCTTTCTCTCTTTCTCTCTCGTGCGTTCTCTCATAAGCATTCATTACGCGAGGACCACTTTGCCGAGATCGTTTGGTACAAGTTGTTGCCATTACTCATATCAACGTTTTACGTACGTTTATGCACCCCCGGTTTTTTCCTCCGCGACGTGTGCAGGGAACATCGTCGCTCATGTATATCCCGAATAAAATTCGAACGCGAGAGAGTGATCGATCAGCGCCGCGTACACACCTTCGTATAGGTATTATCGGCGATAAACGATAAATCAGATCCCCGGGTTCGGACGGTACACGATTAAGGATCCCGAAAAATCGTCAAGACGCCAACGTGTGCGCGCATCCGACACGACGCGCCATTCGATGCCCGCGCCGCTTGTTCAAACCCTCGGGAAGGAAGTCGAACGAGCGGAATAATTAACACGAACAAGATTTCTCGGTCAGAAAATTATCCTCGTAATAAACTTGTGACACCACCCCGGTGTAATTTTCACAAATAACCAAAATGTACACGTATTTTATTGGATCAAAAAATTCACGCGATGTTTTTGCTGAAACGAAACAAGTTTGTTAGATTGAATTACAAATGTTAGAATTATGTTCTATTTTTTTTTTTTTTTTTTTTGTGT